GGAGATCTCGGATTTGGATCGACCCTCTCTGACCCGATCCGAGAAAAATGGCACTATCGGAGCCGATACCCGATTTGAATATCGGATCGGCGCATCCCTAATTACAAGGATGTTCACAGTGGGCTGTGTTTACATTAATCTCGCATCATAAAAGCATAAAAGCCGATGTGCAAGTACATTTAAACACTTACATTACTCAGCCGAACAAACAAGCGCTCTTCATCGTGAACATTTGAGTGTGCGGTTAAAAACTAGCCTAGAGCGCCACCTGCTGTTAAAAACTAAGCTCAGAATCGATTCGAGAGAGAATCACAATGCATTCCGATAATCTCAGAATCGATCCACGAAACGCGATGCATTGATTTATTGTCCCAGCCCTATTCGTGATAATGAAGATTGATTAAAATGAGAAATCGTGAAATCAGTGATTTCGGCCCTCCAAAACCAAATATTTTCGGTTGCCATATTTTAATTTTTAGACCTAATATCACCCATTAATCATGTCAAAATCACTGTAACTCTTCTTTGTCTTCAGCTCAACTGGCGAAGCTCCAGTCTGATATGGAGGCTTTACGTGAGCAGAGAGAGAACACCATCACCACCACCCGCGAGGAGCTCTACAGCGCCCAGGAGGAGATCCTGGTTCTCCGGCACACCATGGAGTCCGCCACCGCTGAGCGGGAACGAGAGATCGCCGCCCTGCAGGGAGACTTGAGCGTCGTCACCGCCGAACTGGACAAATGGAGACAGACGGCAGCCAAGTATGAAGTGGAGATCAGCAACTTACAGGCCAGCTTCCAGCTCCAGAGCCAGCACCAGGAAAGAGCTAGCCAACTTCAAGGTACTCCATTGGTTTTTGGCCATTAGGAGGCCTAGCTCAGCAGAATCACTGTTAAACCCAGACCCGGTTCAGCGGTCAGGCCAGCTTAGCATGTCGTCATTGGCGCTCCTGCGGTGAACCTGCTGCGTCCCTGATGTGCTGTTTGGCTAGTAATGTTCCCTGTATGTCATAAATCAAGCTGACTTCAGAGGAACAATGGCTGAGATCATCACTGATGTGGTGTTTTGTGATCTCTCTATTATATTATGAGTTCAGTTTTTCTGAATTACTAGCCTTGAGAAGAGAACTGAGTTTGAGTTAAATGAGTAGAAAACATGCAGTACTTTTTAAAAGATTGGGGTCAGTGAGATTTTTATTCAGCAAAGACGCATTAAATGTGACAGTAATGACATTTATAATGTTGCAAAAGGTTTCTATTTCACATAAATGCTGTCCTTTTTTTTTTTCGAGCTTTGTATTGATCTACGAATCCTGAAAAAAAAAATGCTTCCACTAAAGTTTCCCAAAAAAATATTATGCAACCATTAACAATAAAAAATAAAAAAAAATCTCGAGCAGCAAATTCAGCTTTGATTACAAGAATAAATGACATTTTTCAGTATATTCGAGTAGAAAACAGCCATTTTAAATTGTAATATTTTTTCACCATTTTACTGTATTTTTAATCAAATGCAGTCTTGGTGAGCTTTAAAAAATATTTAAAAATCTCACAGACCTCAAACTTTTAAATAAGTGTAAGTTCAAAGATTGAATATATCTCCCCATAGCAGAGTGTAATGTTTTATTGGCTATTTTTTATTGATAATATTATTTATCAAAATATTGCGATTTTAGTTTATTCAGTGTGTTTCTTTAAGTCCGTACATTTCACAAGACTTTCTTCACATATTGAGAAGGCACACATGCTGTATTAATTTCACTGGGGTCTTTCCCTCCAGGCCCTCTTTAATGTGTTGTCCAGAGTCACGGAAACAGTTTTGTTATCGTCCATCCTGCTGGGTTTATTTATTATTTATTGGAACCTTGTTTTGTTTTTCACAGAAAAATGTGCATAAAAGTGTTCTGACAGTGCTTCTGAGATCGTTTAAAGCCATTTTAGGCTACACAGAATCTTAAGCAGTAAAATTGAACATGACAGGATAAAATTAACTCTAGTGATGTACCAAAATAAAAAAATTCCAATCTGAAACCAAAAGGTCTGGACACAGACACACTGGACAAAAACAGAATATGAAAATGATAAATTAGCCTGTGTTTGGAATAACGATAAATGTGATTTTGTTTTAATTTTGCATAATCACTTAAATCAGGTGATGGTTTTAACTGGTAATATATTAAATGGTAGTGTATTGTATGGCGTGATATTGTAAAAAAAATTAATATAATTGCTAATAAATACATTGAATGTTTATTATAAGTTATAAATTGCATATTTTGTATGTTTTGTAATATATTTATATAACTTTTTTTATATATATTTATTAAATTTCTTTATATAAATTTGTTAATTAATTTAATGTATATTTAAAACTTCAACATTTTAATTTTAGTTTTTTTTAAACTAAATGATATTTGAATGAGCTGAACAGTGGTTGCACTTTAATACATTGTTATGGGGTGTGAGTATAGGGAATCAATTTTATAATTAGTTTTTCTCTCTGTTTCTGTGTGTCAGGTGAATTGGAGAAGCTTCAGGGCGAGTGCTCTGGTCTGCAGAATGAATGTGACAGTCTGCGGGCTGAGAAGACCACACTGATGCAGAAACTCCACAGACTAGAGGAAGAGCTCGACAGGTGGGTCGCATTCACACAAACAGGCTCTCAGTGGGTTTAGATCGTTTCACACAACAAAAGTGAGTCAGGTTTTAAAGATTTTTTTAAAGCCGTTTTACATTGTCAGATTCCACACCTGCTCTCTTAAATGAAGAATGTTTGAAACGCCATATTGCACAACAACTGCATCTCTTTGTATTTACAAAAGACTATTTCAATGATGCTTTTTCAAATAACTGGATACCATTGTAGTATTTAAGTACCTTTGTCCTGTACTTAATCTCTGCCTTAGGCAGTGTGTGTGTACGTCTCTGTGCTGACGTTATCGTTTTATAAGTCACCGCTATGAGCTCACCTGCCCTAGACCTTCACATTATTATTAGGAATGTTCTAGAACATTCTCTCCCATGTCACAAATTTATTCCATTCATTCTGAAAACTCAACAGAATGTAAACAGCACAATCTTTGACTTTATTTTCCATTCTTTGTTTCGCAGCTCCAGAGAGCAGAGCACGACGTTGAGCAGCAGCCTGAATGCTCTGGAAAAATCCCAGGGAGACCTGGAGAATAAGCTGGGCTCAATACAAGACCAGCACCAACAGGACGCTAGCAAACTGAAGATCCAGCTGGCTCAAGCTGAAAGCCGCACCAGAGACCTGCAGAAAGAGGTATAAGCAACCAAAGACCACCCAGATCGTTGATTGATAATAAGCTGCCAAAATGCACAACACATTAATTACTTTTATTCAGCAAGGATGCATTAAAATTAATCAAGTGACAGTGAAGACCTTTATAATAGGGCTGTCAGTCGATTTAAAATTTTAATCTAATTAATTACAGGTTGCTGCGATTAATCTAATTAATCGCAAACTAAATTTGGCTGTGAAAATACCCCCAAAAGATCATTTAAACTTATTAAATGTATTAGGCTACAATGGCCTAACATAAAGTATGGAACATAAAAGAAGATAATTCGAGAAAAATCTCTGTATTTTTTGTTCATGCAATGAAAGTCACTAGTGACCAAAACAGTATTCAAAATACCTTCTTTTATGTTGTGCAAACGAAAGTAAGACATTCAGGTTTGAATAGGGCTCGAATGCGATTGTGTGCATCTCGTCAGTAAAGCCGGTTCTGGGATTAGTACTAAATCTCCATCACTTGCTTTCAGATGGAGCAGCATTTACTACACAGAGCCGTAGTTCACTAACAAGCTACACAAAATCACGTTCATAATCGCAGACGATATAATTGCGTGATAATGAATTTGAAGAAATCGTTTTGCGATTATGAACGCAATTTTGCATAGCTTGTCAGTGAACAACGGCTCTGTAGTAAATGCTGCTCCATCTGAAAGCACATGCGTTATTGAAAAGCACCAGATTTAATAACATGTTTTTACTCCGAACTCACTTCATAACATCAGTCGAGTGTTTGAAATAAATCCTTCTGTGAGATGACGTGGCTTCTTATACAGAATAACGCACACAACATATTTCATAGTTTTCTAAGCTGTGATAAAGGCTATGTCGATTAGCATTGAATTATTATATACTTTATTATAATAAAAATTATAATAAGGAGAACTCAAATAAATCATATATTGTCGTAGTCGTGTGTTTATTAGTCACGTTGAATTAATGAAAGCAGTTAAATCTTCTGTTTATTCAGCTGCAGCTGAAATCTCTCCTGGATTTCTTCTTTGGGGCATATTTGGAGTTTTAGCGCGAGAGTGCCTTCTGACCAATTTACTGCTGATCACAGAACCGTACTTCTCTGAAAGATACGCATGACAATCGCAGCTTCTGCCTAATTGCGAAAAAACATTTATTGCCTTTGCAATTTAATTTCGATTAATCACGCAGCCCTGGGTTTGAAACAACATGAGGGTGAGTAAATGACAGAATTTATTTATTTATTTTTGGTTTATTTTAAGTAAATGAAATTATACTCTAAAGAAGAAACTAAAAGTACCAGCAGATGGCGGTAAATGTCTTTATGAATCGATCCGTTCAAACGGCTGATTCATTCAGGAATTCAGTAAACGGCTCTATAAATGGGCTACTGAATCATTTGTTCACATGATTCGTTCAAGACACAGATTCATTCAGAAACTAAACATCGCTGTGTTGCTCGGAGATGCACAACAGTTTTGCTGTGGCTTTATAGGTAATATTTTCATTGCCAGAATTGAACAAAATGCACAATATTGTTAAAATTTTGCACAATGTTAACTTATTTACTAAACGGTTGTATAAAATCAGATTTGCACTCGTGTTCTTAGAGACAAAAACAGCACTGGTGTGATATTGCTCTTTATGCTGGTCTGATATCGCTTATCATATGATCATAGATGCAAACTACTCACCTTTAGGTGACAACTCACTTTTTTTTAGATCAAAATGGGTCACCTATGAGATTTGCTTGGATTCAATGAGAAAGTGTTTTTATGAGGGAGAGGGGAGGAGGGTGTCTTACAAGGGTACTTGTGATCTTACAAGGGTAAATAAAGAACTGGGACCGGTTGCAGACTGGTCGTAACTTTATATTCAGTTATGAAAAGGTAGAGTGGTCTTATTTGTATTGGAAAAGTAAGACCGATAACCACTTGGCAACTGCTAGTAAGTTTTGTATAGTAATTTTCTTTACTCTTTAACAAATTATATCAAAAAATTGGTGTCCTGGCTTTCTATGCCTTTTTGCACTTCCCTTTCTTCATGTGTTCAATACTTTTTCCCTGTGTCATTCCATTTTATTACACATAAGTTAATTTCTGAACTTATTTGTTTTGTTTTCTTTGTATGTATGGATTACTTGCGTTGTTACCGACATCTGGTGTAAATTTCATGTCAACAGCACCTCTAGAAATATATTTACTGTGTTCAATACTTATTTTACCCACTGTATCTTTAAAAAAAAAAAAATCCATGTGGAGCATGCCCCCGGTTCTCCCCCCCCCCCCACTTCCCTTTTTGCATCTCTGTATGATATAAATATGAGACAAAAACTCATACAGGGGCATTTTTTTGCCCCAATATCTTGAATTTTTAGGGCTTTACTGCATTTATGGAGTTGTTTCCCTGCATTATATTTGTCAACAGCCAACTGTATGAAATGTAAGATAACGTACAGGTATGGGGGCGGGGCCAGTGCGTTAACTGCATTAAAATATTTTAATCGTGTTATTTTTTCATAACTAATTAATTAAGTTAACGCATTAAACTGACAGCCCTACTTTATAATGTTACAAAAGATTTCTATTTCAAATAAACGTTATTTTGAATTTTTTTTTAATTCATCCTTTCTAAAATAATGTGGTTAATTGCAGTTCTTTCATGATTTAAGAGGAGGGGCAATTAATTTTTCCCGTAGGGCCACGTAGGTTTGGACAGCTTTTTTCCCTTAATAAATGAAATCATCATTTAAAAACTGCATTTTGTATTTACTTGAATTATCTTTGTGTAATATTAAAATTTGTTTGATGATTTGAATCTTTTAAGTGTGACAAATATGCAAAAACATTTTAAAACAGGAAGGGGGCAAAAACATTTTCACAGCACTGTATGTGACACTGAAAACTGGAGTAATGATGCTGAAAATTCAGCTTTGCGTCACAGAATTAAATTACATTTTGAAATATATTCACATAGAAAGCAGTTGTTTTAAATTGTAATAATATTTCCCAATATTAGTGATTTTACTGTATTTTTAATCAAATAAATGCAACCTTGGTGAGCAGATGAGGCTACTTTCAAAAACATTAAAAAATCTTAGTCCCCCAGTTTTTTTTTAAATGCAATGATTGCATAATCTCTCTGTTTCTCTCCAGTACGACGACACTCAGAATCTGCTCTCAGATCTGCGGCAGCAGTATGAGCAGACGGAGCAGGAGAAATACTCCATCAAAGACGAGCTGGAACAGTGCACGGTCAACCTCAAGCTCCTGCAGGAGAAAGGCAGCAGTGTGAGTCTCACAACCCACACAGTTCATTTGCAAAGCACCAAAAAACTCAACACATTGCTTTTAAGCCAGCATTAAGATCTTACTCCAGTTAATTAGCTATCATCCACATTACGCCATTTATCGCGGTTGTCAGCAGTCAGTGATAGATCTTACTTCACTGTTTTGCACGGCTCTGGAAAACACAGCAGAACACACATATACGGCATGATTTTGTGAGTCGTTAGCAAAAATTATTTGCAATTCAACATTTGTAGGCATCATAGGTGTATTAAAATGTTCTGTAATACTCTAAAAAGCTGTAGTTAAAATACCCAATATGTTTCATTAAATATTATTATTGTTTAGCAGCTCATATTGAGTATATATTCATTAACCCCTCAAAGACTTCAGATTTTTCACTTTCAGGTTCTCCTTTTTTTCATCATTATGACCCAAGAGAAGAAAAAATTTTTTTGACACATTTTACAATTTATTCTTCATTTTTGGCCAGTTGTGATATTATTATTGTTTAGCAGCTCATATTGAGTATATATTCATTAACCCCTCAAAGACTTCAGATTTTTCACTCTCAGGTTCTCCTTTTTTTCATCATTATGACCCAAGAGAAGAAAAAAATTGACACATTTTACAATTTATTCTTCATTTTTGGCCAGTTGTACACTTCAGTTTTTCGAATTTGCTACACAAAACAGTAGTTATCACCTTAATCTCCCACAGTTCCCTCAGAACAATCCCTTGCACACTGCTGATTGGAGTCACAATCACTTCATGTGTCGCTGATTTGAATTTAACACAGATAAATTGTAGATTAATTGTTCTTTAGTTGAATACAAATAACCAGTTTATTGTTTGCTGTGATTTATTAATGCCTTGAACACTGTCCTCGTTCCTGACGTCCTGCTTCTAGATGTTCAAATGTGTTTGTGGTTCTGGGGCGTTTTATATTTTTGTTTGTATTGATTTATGGACAGTCCCTTCCACCGCACCTCTTTATTTGGCTGTTTTTGTTTGTATACGTTTGTATGTTTGTTGTAGTTGTTCGACTCCCCCAGCCTGATTTCCGTTGAATAGTTTGAAGATTGATTTTTTGTTTTATTTGTAATATCCCTTCCCTCCTCTAGCCATCCATATTGCAGCCTGTCCAAGCCATTTTCATCGGTCTATTCCTGGCTTTGCTGTATTGGTGCTTCGGCCAGTTGTGGTAGAAAGGTACACACGCTCCTGTTGAGTCTGTTTGTGTGTCTCCTGTATATCCACCTCTGTATATATCATCACATATATACGACCTGTGCATGGCAAACTCTCATCCGTCATCTCTGCACCCGCTTCGCCCCAAAATCCCTTTTCGGTGCTTGGCGACACATGGGAACTCTTAACCAATTCCTCGTCCAGAATCACCAATTACTAACCAAACACATTAACTGTCTTGTCTTGCTTGGATCGGCATATAAATCTCTGCATTCGGGGATTTTGGATGCTTTTTCATTTTTGGGGGCATTTTGGTCATCATGTTGTCTTTCGTTTGCTGTTCTTCTTTACTTTTATCAATTTAAAGGCATATTTCATCCAAATATGAACATTCTGTCATCATCTACTCACCCTAATGTTGTTTCAAACCTGTATGACTTGCTATCATTCAAAAGAAGAGGTTTTAATAAATGTTCATGCTGCTCATTTCCATGCAGTGAAGGAATAAAGAGATCAGCAGCTGACAAACTGAAAATAACTAAGCAGCACAATGACAGTCCATTAAGTCAATAATTTCTGAAAATCATCCCTTTTTGTTTTAGCTTCCTAAAACAAAAAGGGATGCTTTTTCATATTCAAACGTAATGCATTAGGACAATTTTTGTCATTAGTGGCACTAAATGCCATTGGTTCTTACTCGCCATATAGACTACTTATTCCCTTTTTGTAAGATGAGTTTTTTTCTGTTTTTATATGGATTTCTGTATTTCCTGACCTGAAATATGAGCCATGAAGATTGCATAAATCAGAGGAAAAAAATTGCTGCATTTGCAAATTTTATGCCAAAATAAAATTTCTAGTTTAAGCACAAAAAAACAGCCATAAATAAGATTATAGTTTTATTATAACACCAATAATATAAATATTATATAATTTTATTATAATTTTACTTTTTCATAAATTAAAATTATAATTATTTTTAATTATAAAGAATTTAATTATCATTCAATACTTTTTCACAGTACAATATTACCAATTCAATAGTAATGTATTTAGTGATTTAATTTTCATATTGTAAAAGAAAAATATTTTATTATAATATAATTATTATTATTATTATATAATAATAATATATAATAAGTATCACAATATATTAAAGATAAATATAAATATTATTATCTTAATTATTATTATTATTATTATATTTTTATAGATTGACAGCCCTTGGTCACTGTTCACTTTTATACAGGAAAAAAAAGCAGCATGAATATTTTGGTAAAATGCTTCAAACTTAGTCATACAGGTTTGAAACAACACGAGGGAGCAAATGATGTCCAACTTGTCATTTTTGAGTGATCTGTTCCTTTAAGCGCAACTTTTCTTTCTTTGGGTTTGAAGAAAGACGGTTGTGTTTGCTTTTATTTGCTTTATAACTCCTGTGAGGTAACTGGTTCTCCCAGTTTTACTTAAATATTTGCTTTTCCTGTCTTCTCCCTCTTTCTCTCCGTTTCTCTGTGTATTTCTCTCGTAACTCTTTGTCTCTTACTATCACCCAGGTCTCTCTCTGTCTCTTTAGCTCCAGTCTCCAGTGCTTCTGTCCTGGTTGCTCTGGTGCATCTAAAATAACGACCTTTATTAATTGCATTGCTGTCGTTTCAGAGCGGTTGGATGCCCTGGATGCCGGTGATTGCCGCAGGTCTCTCTCTGTCTCTTTAGCTCCAGTCTCCAGTGCTTCTGTCCTGGTTGCTCTGGTGCATCTAAAATAACAACCTTTATTAATTGCATTGCTGTCGTTTCAGAGCGGTTGGATGCCCTGGATGCCGGTGATTGCCGCATTGGTGGTTGCTCTGGTGCATCTAAAATAACGACCTTTGTTTTTGTCATCCTCCTCGTTTCAGAGCGGTTGGATGCCCTGGATGCCGGTGGTTGCTGCTGTGGTTGCCGTGACAGCAGTGGTGCTTTATCCCAACTTGTCCAAGAGCTCCTCCTGAGAACCAATCAGAACACTCGTCGTCTCTACCACTTCCTGTCCCCAGCACGGCCCTCTGTCCAACCTGAACATAATACCTCTCGTTTTGACAATACAGCCCCAATGTCTGTGTAAAATGCAAATGTATATAGTATAGAAAGAAAGAGGGAATAAAGTTGTAACGCATATTATAGAATAAATAATCTATCAGCGTTTTTGTCACTCGGATGGAAATTTTGATGATTAAAATGGCCTAAACTAGGTCTACTGTTTCGTTTTCTTGAATGGGTACCACGTTTTCTGTTAGCAAGTTTTTGTTTCTTGGACTCTTCTTGTGGTTTGCCATCTTAGATGTGGCAATCCAACTAGATGTACAGCCAAATGAGGATCTGAACTCTAGGGCACAGAGGGGAGAAGTGCCTATTTTAAATACTAGTAGGACTAGTTCACATTGAAGTGCCACTCATGCAGCGAATGGAAAAAAAAGTCTAAATTTCACGTCGTCTGTGCTGTTATTGTGTGTTCGAGCCGACATGCTTCTAGCACAGTGATGTTGTTGTTCTCTATGGCTGTTTCTCTTGTATCATGTATTATAAGCAAATGTTCATGTCAGAGACACTACAAGTATCTAGGTGGTTTTGAAAATCAACGTTAGGATTGCGGTCAGCGTCAAACAGATGGAGCGTTGACCTAAAACAAAAACAAATGTTGTAGCTTTTTACCAACACACTGTCCTGCTGTTCGGACTGAGATGGAGCACTTTGGAAAACTCCTACAGTACCTCCTGAAAAAGGCTCTGGGATTTTGCTGCCTTACCTGTAACATAGGTTTCTTCTTACAGAGTGAAATTGGATGCAAAGGCTTTAAAATGAATGGGATAAATGGGTGGAACTGTCACAGATCCGCTCTCGTGAAGCACAGAAATGGGTGAGAGTGAATTATTTGGAGGGTGAATGGAATGAGTTGTTTAAATGTGGATGTGCAAGCTGCTTTGAGACTGCAGGAAGACGAATTAACCAATGATGTGTTTGGTGTGTGGTTCACATTTGTCTGCTGTGCTGTAAATAAACAGTCGTGGAGCAAAAAGCCGAGCTCATCTGGTTCAACGTGTCGCAGACTTTGTTTTTGCATCTTTTTTTGTTTCACTGGAAAGACATACTGCAACAAAAATCCACTGAACATGTCAACATGGATTTGACCATGAATGAAAAAAAGCAAAGCTTGTAGCACAGAAAGTATAGCTTTAAACAGATCTCTTGCATCGAAAGCAGCGTTTTTGTTCTTTAAACAGCACGATGGACTTTTTATTTCTAAAGTCCGCTTGGAACATCGTCCTTCACAGGCCGTTTGTAAATATGTATGTATGAATGTTTGTGTGTAAATATGTTATAGTCACAAAATAAACATTGGATATAAATGATATCGGTCACATCTAATTTGCTGCTGAAGCCAGTTTTTAGGATATGATGCGTTGGCCTTTTCTTATCCTTTTAATTGAGATACCAGTTCTTCGTTCAAGTTCGGTTTAGTTTAGTTTTATAGATGCATTTGTACCTTTCATTTGGCTTAAACACGTACAGTTTTTGACCAAGGGTTTTTTTCTTTTAAATTGCAAATGAAAGTTTTGGAACTCGTTAACGATAACAACAAACATTAGAACTAAGGAAAAGATGCAAACGGTGATGTGAATTTAAACAGGTCGTAGCTGAACCTATCAAGGCTGGTTTTTGTAGGCATAAAGTTTGCATTTTTGTTTCTTCATTCTCTGTCAGTTCATAGTGGTGCAATAAAGTTTCTCACAAGTTGTTTGAAGTTGAAAATCAAAGCTAAACCTGGGCCTTTGGGAAAAGATCTCTTTAAACTGGTCACCAACTACCAACCAAGTCAGTACAGTACAGCACACTGCCTGTATATATTTTATTCGTAAATATTGTTTGAGGGTTTTTTTTTGTCTTCAACAGAGAGCTTTTGTTTCTACACTTTTGTTTTAAACATCAAAGATAGTTCATTGTCAAAATTCTATTTTGTAAAGACAGAAAGGGTATTTGCACTAACCAGTGTGATGTGCATGACTTCAATAAAACCGCTTCACTTTACTTGACTAGTTTGATTCTTTTTGGTCAACACCTATTTCATGTATTTTTAGCTAGATCAGCATATAATTTTTTTTTTTTCCTGTATGGGTTTATCAAAACTAACTAATAGTATTTTTTTAGGGGGCAAACATTCACAAACGTAAGAGCGATTGTGCCATTTCTAACTTGTGTGTGCGCGGGTTCCGGTTTCATTACAGTCATTTTAGCTGTACAAAAACAGTCCGTTATGCTGCTTGATATGGTATTTTATATTATTTTAATTACCTATCATAACCATAAACACGCAAATAGTTTAAACGTTTACTGTACTTTGTTTTCTCTAGATATTTACCTATAGCAGCTAATGAACCAGATGTCTCGTATATTCACAGAAAACTGCTTAACATTGTAAAATAAGGTGAATAGACCCCACATTTCTTGAAACTGACACAAAACTTATGTTAAATTATGATGTTTTCACCTTAAATGTTGTTTGTAGAAATGAACACAAGATGGCAGCCCTTACAAGATTTTTTTTAGAAGCTGTTATGTTTCTGTTTTCATGTGCATTATGAAGCGTCTTTGGCATTTACAAGGCCATATATTTGTTCTCCGGACAAGATTATAAGTGTTCCTTTCTCAAGCACATCTCCTTGATCTTTATTTCCAATAAGGTGTGGAATGTCTCGAATACCTTTGCTGAATTGTTCTTTTGTCTGGAAGTCAGGACAGATCTGTAAACTTGAGATTCCATGTTTCCTGCAGCGGTTAGAACCACATTCTCATGGAAGCCTGATAGAATGTCAAGCTGTCTGCACCCACTGCCAAAGCTCATCGACTCCTCTCTGACACACCCAGGGGCCCTTGGGGGCCTCGCTTTGACATGACTGTGACGTGGGCGTGTAACCGGGCCTGACACAGGACATAAGCGGTGATAGGAAGTTCCCCGCCCCGTCTGATAACAGTTGACTGCTGAGATTTATGCAACATCACTTTCGTATCAGCACTGAAGCGAACTCAAATCGCAGGCTTTCTGTTCTCAAGTTCAATTTAAAACTATACTGTTGCTCATACAACGGAACATGCGTGAACAGGGTCTATAAATATGTATAATTTAGTCATAGTGAAATAACAGATATATATGTATATACAATTTTGGAGAATTGAAGCTGCAGAATATTAAAATGTAATCATGTTTTGAGATGGGGGGGCAAGTTAAAGACAGGCTATGCATGTGCATCTGATATAAAATCATGCATTGAATAAATGTAATGAAATAATCGGCTATCAAACAGGATATAAATGGGAAGAAATAAAACATATCAGTTTACTATGATACAAAAAGAAAATTAAATGCATGCCTTTGATGACGAATTTGTATTTTCTCTTTCATTAGACAGTTAGCTAACTGTGCCAGGAACATATTAAAGGTTATTTTGGTTGCACAAGAAGAAATTTCTTTTAAAAATCCTAAATGATTAACTGGAAAACACATTAAAAGTATTGCTCAAAAGTTCTGGCAATCTCAGAATTAAAGCGGTACAGTAAAACATACAGATTAATTGTTAAATATGTGCCCTTCAGACAGAAAATGTGCCTCTGATTTCATTACAATGAATAGTGCTGATCTCTAACAGCGACATCCTGATGATTCAGATGCACCTGGAAATGTGATGCCAGCACTATCAAAGATCTCATGCAATCTGCTTTACCAACAGTACGTCATCCTACAGATGAGTCGGGCCGTGCCTGAGGGCCTCAGTTTGGTGCAGCCTGTGGGTTTGAGTCCAGACAGACAGACAAAGGCTGTAATCTGTGCTTCAGACACATTACTCGGCTCAGAAAGGTGGGAGATTGTGACGAGAATCCTGTCACTGCAATCTTCACTGAGGTTAAAAAATAACAAAAAGCCAAGACAAATGATTACAGGACAGACTTTTGCAGCGAACACAACTCATATTTACTTAATGACATTTAAAAATCTCTTTCAGTCTTTATTTAAAGGAATAGCTCACCAAAAAATTACACTTGTGTCAAATGTACTTACCTTCGGGCCATCCGATTTAGAGTTTATTTCTTCTTCAGATTTACAGGAATGTAGCATCACATCACTTGCTCAGCAATGGATGCTCTGCAGTGAATGGGTGCCGTCAGAATGAGAGTCCAAACAGCTGATAAAAACATCACAGTAATCCACAAGTAATCCACAGCACTCCAGTCCATCAGTTAACAGCTTGTGAAGCCAAAAGCTGCGTGTTTGTAAGAAACAAATCCATCAAGACGTTTTGTTGCATGGCTAAAATATGAGTCCATAATCCATAATAACGCTTTTCACTGGAGGAATCAATATTAAGGATTATGGATTCGTATTTTGGCCAGATTCGATGGTTTGAAGTTAAAAAACATCTTAATGATGGATTTGTGTGGTGTGGATTATTGTGATGTTTTTATCAGCTGTTTGGACTCTCATTCTGACGGCACCCATTCACTGCAGAGGATCCGTTGGTGAGCAAGTGATGTAATGCTACATTTCTCCAAATCTGTTTCCATAATGAAACAAACTCATCTACATCTTGGATGGCCTGAGGGTTTTCACTTTTGGGTGAACTGGTCCTTTAAGTGTTTGGCTTTGTTTCGAATGCTTCTCAAACAGAAGAGCTCAGCTGCTGTCATATCACAGATGTGCATCTTTCTTTTCAGTTGTAAGAGTGTGATGCACTGTTGATCCACCCTGGTAACTAACGCTGATCATGTACTGTATGCTGCATGAAATAATAGCCGCTGTTGATACTGGAGTGAATATTAAGACTCCTGTCAGCAAAGGTGGGAAGCCGTGCAGGATATGAGGGCGAGGGGAAAGGCGTGTATAATGAAAACGTCTGGATACGTCTGTTATGATTGTAAAGTGCTGCTGACACCTTCCCAGAGACAAAACAGAGCCGTCAGTGTGGCGTTCAGGAGCTTGCCAAACGTGTGGGAAACATTTGTCTGGCGAATCATAAAAGTGTCTGAAGGTGTCCATTACAGCGATGCATCTGAAATCTGTTAGACGGCCCTGTGTGGCTTTTATCAAACAAGCAGAAAGTGTTTGGGGGCCTTTTGTGGAGAACATTTTTGCAATCAGTACACATTTACACGATTATCTACTCTAGATTGCAATGAAAATGACTGGAGAAGAACACACACACACACACAAGTAATCTAATAATTTCTCTTAATATTTCTTATTATGTATGTAGAAACCCAGTTAATAAAGCATAGAACAAATGAAAGTTTAAAACAACATAAAAAGTTCAGGACAGGTTTAAGAACATGTCTTCAGTGTATAGAAACCAAATTTGAAACCAAATTTGGACTATACTGTTTTAAGTAATTACCGACCTATATCAAAACTACCTTTCTTATCAAAAATTTTAGAGAAGGTTGTTCTGTCTCAGCTTGCGTCATATTTAGATATGAATGCTGTTATAGATATGTTTCAGGCAGGTTTTAGATCTCTTCATAGTACAGAATCCGCCCTTCTTAAGGTTTTTAATGATATTTTATTGACAGCTGATTCAGGAAAGGTAGTTATTCTTATTTTACTTGATCTCACAGCTGCTTTTGATACGCCTGGGAAATGTAATAGCTGCCATAGCGACCAGGACTGATTGCTGTAATGTGCAATGATTACTGCAGTGACGAGCACATTACATGCGTGGGAGATTGGGACATTCAGGGCTTATAAGCTGCTACAAAGCAGCACGAATGACGTCAGCAGGTCAATATGGTAAACACACATTTATGAGGTTCCATATCATTGGCCTGCATGTACAGTGGAGTCTGTTAGTCTGAGACCACATTAAAAATCTGGGATGTAATATGGTATATAAACCCCCTTGCCTTCTTGATGCTGTAAAATAAATGTCATGTGGTGCGACTAGAAGATTTTTATGAAATAATTAATGATATTAGTAAAACACTTTTTACTTAAAAAAAAATATATTTAGTACAAATATATATTTTTTACATTATTAGTAGTTAGTACAAAATGCTGCTGCCAGACTTTGACTCGCACAAAGAAGAGAGAGAGAATTACTCCAGTTTTGGTTTCTTTACGCTGGTTGCCTGTAGAATTTAGAATTGAATTTAAGGTTTTGTTGATGGTTTTTAAAGCGTTGCATGGCATTGCCCCAAAATATATGGTTGACCTATTGATTCCTTATCAAAATTCAAGAAACTTGAGATCTTCGAATCAGATGATTCTTTATGCTCCCAAAACAAGATTAAAATCAAAGGGTGATAGGGCTTTCGCAGTGGCTGCTCCTCGATTATGGAACCCTCTCCCAATGCACATTAAATCTTCCCCATCTGTGGATGCTTTTAAGTCTAGATTGAAATCGTACCTTTTTGGTAGAGCTTTTAGAATTGACTAGAGGGACCAGGTTTTATATTTTAATGTTGAATCTTGATTGTGTGACTGTATGTAATGTTGCTGGAAAGCACTTTGGTCAACAGCAGTTGTTTTAAATGTGCTATAGAAATAAAGTTTGTATTGTATTGTATGATGCTTTATATACTTTGCATATAAAATAATACCATCTAGATTTATTTATAACTTTTACTTTATATTTTTAAATATGCTTGTTTCATTTTCATTTGACTTATATTTGTTTTTAGCAGTTATCTTATTATTGATTTATATTAATTTATTTAGTATTTAACATCACATATTTTCAGTTTATTACAATTATATATATATATA